TAATTTTTCAGAAAATATATGTGATAAAAATATTTAATATTAGAGTAACTAAATATATATCTGCATTAGTTACATGTAATCTGTTTTCTTTAAATAAGAGGTCATTACAACCCCACCCCCCACCCCAAAATATAATGGTTTGACCAGGACAATGGCGGGCATCAACTTTTAAAGTTCGTTTTGCTGCAAACTAAGAATGTCAGGTTTTCAGAAGTCCGACGCACAGAAAACAAGAAAAGAGAAAAAGGGAAGATGAAACCAAAAGCGTGAGGGATTTTAGGAGTAAATATTGAAAATAAACACTAGGCTAGTCAGGAACAGGTACAGGGATGGAGTAGCAGAAGAATGATGCCCATTCAGAAGCAGGTAAGAAGCAATGTGTTTATCAATGTGCTAAACGCATTGCAGTAGTAGCCATTCAAAATTTCCACACTTTCCTTGATGGGCCCCTGGCAGCTCCTTAGCTTTTCCCCCAAAATTCCTTTTTAAACATCAATCTTTGTACTAAAATATTCTGTCATGATTTGTGGAAATTAAGATCTAAAGAGAAGCTCATCTCCTGGTCCGGAGTGTCATCTAGTCAGTTTTGCTGGGGCCCAGGACAACAGTCCCAGGCCGTAGCAAAGCTGTAAGATGGCCTGAACTGGAGTATAGAGACTCTAAAACATGCCTTCCTGCATTCTTAAGCCTGATTCATACTCAGAGACCAGGTCGTCTGTGTGTGTCGTAGTGAACGCAAATGCGCCTCCATCCCTTCCACAGACACAGGTACAACTCTCCAAAACTGTAGGTGACAGCAGACAGGAGGCATCTGATTGGTCAAATCGACATCCTACACTATGCATATTTCCTTTTTGGTACCTTACCAACTTCTTTTGTTTGCATCACCGCCATTGTGAAAAATGACTCGTGAAGATGGACCTACTAGAAGAAGGAACCTTTTTTCCACCTGGATCCCGCTCTTTTTCGCCCTCATGTCCCTCCGTTGTCGCACAAATTTGCCCCGATTTCTTCAACGCCTCGGCCGTATCTAGACCCACAGCTAGTTCGTGATTGTCCCTCTTGCGTTGTGGAATAACATAGCGCAGACCACGATTCAATATGGTGCATTAATTAAAAATGTCTGCGACGAGCTGACTGCAACAAACTGCTGCGGGAGTATAACCAGCCCTTTATCCTGAGCTGTAATTATAACAGTGAAAAAAGATACACGAGTATTTTGCATTAAAAAGCTTTTTCGTCACTCAATATGCTCTATCCAGAACTCAAGTGGAAAACTTTTAGTTTCACCTGGTTTGATTACTGCACAAAAACCTTCTTTAAGGAACCATTGGCTATTAGATTAGCATTCGAAAAAATATCAAGAATAAAGGTTTAACAAAAAGATCATTAGCTGCAGCCCTAGTTATATTCACGATTTAACGTATGCCAGTAGCTTGTTTTTTTTTGGCCATTTCTTATTTTTATTTATAGCTGTTAGTTACAAATTTTTCATCGTGATATTTCGGACTAGCTCTGCCTCAGGGATACGCGTTTATGATTACTTTCTGAGAATAAAAGACATTTTAAGAACATTAAAAATATTGATCATGTTGTGCCCACAGGAAATTGTTCAAAATAATAAACAGGTCTGAAACAATTAATCGGATTATTTGTAATTAATGGACTATTGAAAATTGTCAACTAATTTAGTAATTGATTAAACGTTAACTGGAGTATAGAGACTCAAAAACATGTCTTTATTTGAAGGAGCAACCCACTTAAAGCAACAATTATAACAAGATAGTGAAAAATATATAAACGTTTTGCATTTAAGATAAAAAAAAAATGTTTTACCGTTGTCGATATTCTCTATCTAGAACTTCTCAAGTGGAGAAGTTTTAGTTTAACCTGGTTTACGTTCATAAAAAAAATATCCTTTAAGGAATCTTTGGCTATTCTTTATCGGAAAAAAATATCGACAGATTAATCGATTTGCAAAATAATCGTTAGCTGCAGCCCTAATAAAAACAAAAACAATTATGTAATGTAACTGCGATACGAGAAAGATTGGTAAACAACAATCATCTCTTCATTTGTTGACAGTACAGCCCCAATGTAAGAGGGATTATGATCGGCCTCCAATATGTTAATCCAATAAGGATCCAAATTTTCAGATCAGGCCAACCTTCACAAACAGGGTCCTTAAATGAGGCTGGTTTATACCTAAAGGGATTTAATTAATCCAGGTTAATATTTCCCAGGGTCCATCTTAAGTATGGCTAGATAAGGACAGTCTTAGACTGGACCACAGACTGTAAACAGAGCTGAAGTGCGAGTTTGAAGGATAGGAAACAGAAGGTGGAGAACTGTGCACTCTCTGTGCTGACATAATCCCTCGCAGTTCAGCTGAAGCATGGACTGAACTTCTCACTCTCACCCTGCAAGTGTTACTGCTTCACAATGCACTGCGGCGAGATGATTACGCCACACAGGGCCCACCTCCAGGCTTTGTTTGGTTCGATATGCTCGCAGCCCGAGTTGAAGTCCTCTCACGTTACAGCGCGTATCCAGGTCCGCCTACGACTTAGCAACACCTGGGAAAAACACTGACTTCACCAAGCAGGTGGCTTCTGTCGTATTATAATATTGGAGGCATTTCCTTTAAAAAAAACATCTAACATTTTGAAGTGCAGGGAGGTTTTGACTTTGCACCTCAGTGGGATGAACCAATCAGTGATACAGAAACGTAGAGATAAGATGAGAAACAAACAGCCAGTCGATGTTATGATTAGCGTACAATGTCAAACAACAGCCTGTTGATGTTTTTATAAAAAACAGATCTTAAAGCCAAAGTGTCCCACATCAGATCCCAGATATTTAGTTAACAACTTAGCAATAAGAGCTTATCGTTTAAATATATCTGATTAGCTGCTTAAAGTCTAAATGGAGATCCACCATATTATAAAGTAAATTAAACCATGTAGAGATTGGATGATCCCTTTGATTGGCTGTCTTGTCAAAATGAAAATTTGAGCATTTTAATTTAATAACTGGATTAACCCAAAGTATTCACATTGATGTATGTGTAAATGCTAAAAGATCTAAAGGCTTTAATGCAGAAATTTATATGGTAAATTTCTTCTTTTATTAAATTAAAATTCAACTTTATGAAAAATAAAACTCTGCACATTGTTCCCATATATTTTACAAGAACACATAATATAACAGCTCAAAATAAAAGTCTGTATGTTTGACATCAAAGAAATGAATCAATGCAGTTTTTTTAAGGTTATAAAGTAATAAAGATTTTGACGTCAGTTTAACCGGTATGTGCTGACAATCCCTTTTCCGTTGATTCTCCACTCGGTATTCCTTTTTTTCCCCCGTTTAAAGGACACGATGATACCAAATATTAAGCAAGTCGCAGTTTAAACAAAAAATCTAAAAAAGAAAAACTTACCAATGAATAAAGAAATCATTAATAACTGAGAGCAAATATGTGGCCTTGTGTGATCTGTGAACGCATCGACATATTGGCTGATAAAAACAAAAAACACTAACATCAGTAAGTCGACCTATAAGTTTATCTTATAGTATAGGACTGAGCTATGCACTAATGATATATCTTCTTTACCTACTTTTATCAATATTTCATTGAAAGTTTATGTCAGCATTGGAAATGATAAAGTCACACTTGCTGGTGTTATTAGTGAGAACTTTCATTTTATTTTGAAGCAAGAAAAACAAGAGGGCAAGCATCAGAAATGCACCTACCATGGCTGGCTTTAAACAAAATACAATATGTTTCCCTTTAAGGACTTTAGGAGTAGCTCTAAAGAAAGTGAAGTTACCCATTGATAGATCTTAGGTTTTTCCCTAACCTATATGTAGTAAAAATTCCCAATCTGCAGATTTTCATCTTGAAATCACCAGTTCAGTCTAAATTGACTAAAAGCTTATTGTTAGACTTTACATTTTTAATACATTTACAAAGGATTTTCAGATTTTCTTTAGACTTTACTTTCTTCCAAGTTTCTTTGAGCAACTTTAACAAAATTCTAAGAGATTTTACCCCAAGACACACATTTTGAAATTTTAACTTTTCAACCATTCCTTTTATTTTATTCATTATTTTAAAGCAGTCATCATGCAACATCAATTTATACCCAAGCTGAAGAGAAAAATGGCATGATCATGCAGTAAATGATCGTAAAAATCCAGTATGGATTAAAGAAAACTTATTTTAAAATCCTTTGCAGAGTGGCTGACTTTTTAACAAAATACAATCAGTTTCCCTTTAAGGATTTTAGGAGTAGCTCTAATCAAAGTGAAGTTACCCATTGATGGATCTTAGCATTTCCCCCAACCTATAAGCAATAAACATTCCCAATCTGCAGATTTTCATCTCCTAATCACAATTTCGAGATTTAATTACAGTCAAAATTGACTAAAAGCTTATTGTTAGACGAACACCTTTAATACATTTATGAAGGATTTTCAGCTTTTCTTTAGACTTTACTTTCTTCCAAGTTTCTTTAAACAACTTTAACAAAATTCTGATAGATTTTACCTCAAGACACACATTTTTGAACTTTAACTTTTAAGCTATTCCTTTTCTTTTATCCATTATTATATTGCAGTCATCATGCAGCATCAAATTATAAGTAAGCTGAGAAGAAAAATGGCATGATCATTTGGGAAATTTAAAGAAAATTTAAAAAAAAATTAAGAAAATGTATTTTAAAATCGCATCCTTTGCAGAGTGTGTAATGAATGTAAAGCCAGCACGTAGTTAAATGCACTTTGGCATACAGTGTAACACCTTATGTAACTCCTAGGTTGTAAATATGTTTACACCTTCTCATCCATAGGTCATAAACTCGTCAAGCTGTCTTGATTAACAACTAAATGGTGTAAATAACTATTAAAAAAGACCTAAAACGTGTCATCTGAGAGGGGAAATAAATAGTGCATATGTCAGAGCAACACTACGGAAACCCGCAGGTTTCAGAGCTCACCGTTCTGAGGTGCTTCCTGAGGATGTACATGATGAAGCCCCATATTCTTGACGTGACACTGAGGAAAGTGCGGATACCGAGTAGACACTGCCGGGTCTTCAGCATGTTGATGGGCACCCAAAGACCCCCAAACAGCAGGTCTGCTTCAAGTCTCAAAGCGATGTTAGAGAACGCCGCGGTTTGGCGACGTTGATCTGCTAAATAACACGCGACTTTTAACGTGCTGCTATAGAAAAAACGTCTAAACTCTCAGCTCCAACTAACAAGAGGCCGAACTCTTCTTCAAACTTGTGGCTTTCTGTTAGTTTTAAATGCAGAACATTATGGCAGAGACAGACAGCCGTTGTTGGGAAGGAAGAGGGTAAAAAAAGCCGCCTCACGTCGCTTGCTTCTGTATGAACCACAGCGCAAACCACCGTTAGCTGATAGCCGAGAAGCTACCGCTAGCTCGACGGGGTGACCACCTTGAAACCGAGGACAAAAATAGCCCCAAAAAGCCGAGAATCCGCTTGCTGACATGCACCGGTGGGACGCGGCTTCACTCTGTTCGGCATCCGAAGAGAGTCGCTTAAGTAAAAGTTCCTCCGAAGTCCAGCCGCTGGGCTTAAAATCAGTTTGTAGTCCACTGGAAGTCCGGAATGAAGCTGCGAGCCGCCATAGCCGCCTTGCCGTCACTTCCGCAAGGAGATCTGCGCTCTGCGAGGATGAGGACGCGGGGGCGCGCATCGCGTCCACGTGGAAAGAAAACATACCGACGTGGACGAGTGAGCGCGTGGAACCATAGAAGTTGATTAGTTTGATGAATCGCAGCTTTTTTTTTTGCTAGCTTTTAAACAGCTTATCTTTCTAAGAACAGATCTAAACACTACGGAAGAGGGAAAAAAAAAAAGTTAACTGATTTTTTAATTTTATTTCAGTTTTACATGGGAAAAAAGTCAGAATTCTGCCTTTTTTTCTCAGAATTCTGACTTTTTTCTCAAATTATGCTGAAATAAAGTTTTAAAATTAGTAAACTTTTTCACATTATTTACATTAAGTTCCAAAATTCAGAGATTAAAGCCAGAATTCTGAGAAAAAAGTCAGAATTCTGAGATTAAAATCAGGATTTTTTTCTCATGTTATAATGAAATAAAAGTTGAAAAATAACTAAACTTT